TATATGAGAAATTTCTTTTGTTGTTTTCGACATCTAAAAGTGTTTTACGGGTTCATTTCTTCGAAAATTCTCACCATGTCCCCGGAATCGGGAAAATTAAAAGTTAAAAAATTTGAGATATTTTAAAAATTTTACTTTGATCGCTAATATATAGAAAACCAATCGCCATATAGTGTTTGAATTGCTCTCCCCGATAGGCGTATCGTTGTTTGAGAAGCATATTTTTTTTATGTCTGAGCATGGCGTTTTCCAGAGTTTCTCTAAAAGCTCCTTAATCAAAATGTTGCTATTGGTCTGGAATTTTGGATTTTATCCCTCAATCTTGCTCCGAAAGTATTTATGCACCGCGTTTTTGATTCAGATCGTCGAAAATTATTCCCATGTATTTTTTGTGGATTTTTTAAAAACTTTCTCGAGCATCTTCGAATGTTAACTAAAGACTTTTTTTGTAGATTTCGATCTCCAGAAGTAATTTTCGGCTTTATTTCTTTGAAGATTTGTACTATTTTTTCAAAATCGCTAATAGGAAATAAGGCAGTTTTAAAATTTTAATATAAGTTGAGTATTTTAAATCGAGTATTTAAAAAATCTTGGTCCGGAAAATTAATACTCAATTTTTGTCACACTTTCCCAATATTAATAACAAGTCTGTTGTTAAGAATTCGAAAACATTATAAAGCAAACCAAATTGAAAATATTTTTGGCTGGCATATTTTGATAGTTCCACAAAACCTCCCGTCAGACCTACCAGGAACCCTCCTCGTGTTTTGACATCGCTCGAAAGGCGATTAAAGCTTGCTGGCACGATTTCGTGCCGCAGAAACGAGCGCACTCCATTAAAAAAGAGTTAATTATGCATTGGGCACTCGTTCTTTCTTAAACAAGTTTTTAATTACGCGGCGACCGGTGCCGATTTAGCGCGTGGTCGCCGGTTTATTATTCGCATTCTTGCGAGAAAGTTTTGATAAATTGCTGAATCGGCGGTCCGGTCAAGCGCGGCCGGGTCAGAGGAGAGGTCGCCAATTTAACGGGTAATTATCGAGGAAAAAAGGTAATTAGAGGCGGGAGCCCCGTTTTCCGGCGAAATGGGGCCGCCGGAAAAGTACGAGCGGGCCGCTAATGAATTTGTGGGTATTTTATTGTTATGGCCGCGGATCGGACTACCTCAGTAGTTCTTGTTCGGGCTCATTTGCAATGGAGATGAGCGTTGGGATTTATTTGAATTGTAGAAATTTCGATCTGGCGCGGTTTTTGTGGCAAATGTGACAGGTGCGGGGAGTTTTTTGCGCAAATTTGGATTAATAGGTGCCATATGACTGCTTATCGTGGACAATCGGGAGCGACAGTTGGACGGGCCGGAATTAATTAGGAGGTTTCGAGGCGATGGATGCTGATTAGTGCTACCAATCGTGCTTTTTTTATAAATTATCGTCAAACGACTTTAAATTATTTATAAATCTTCACAGCGATAATAATAATAGTGATACTTTTTTATTCATCGAAACTTGATATTTTCTGTAAACAGGAATTTAAACGAGAATTACAATCTTTCGTTATTTAAAATTGACGATGTTTGAAATGTTACACTTACTCTCACACTCAGAATGGTGACCTGACGTTTGTCCCTTGCCCTGAAGTACAGTCGAACAAGTATCAAATTTAACTTTGAGGAGTCTTTTTTTTAATGACCCCTGTGAGCTAAAATTATCATTAATTTTTTTGAGTTTTCTTGTACAAGTCATTAAAAAAATATGAACCACAAGTAGAAACTCTTACTATTGTACATATTTTTGATTTTAGACTTTTCATGTTTTGAATTTTCCAATTTTACGATTTTATTAGCATTTTCAATTTCCATTGTTTTATTTAATCTTTGAAACTTTCAATGCATCAGTTTTCCAATTTTTCAATTGACTTTATACTTAATAAACTTTGCGATGTTTCATCATTGCAATTTTTCAATTTTCTAGTTTTTCGATATTTACTTTGTCGAATTCAAAGTATTCGATTTACCAATTTTTAGATATATTTTAATTTTTCGTTGATTTCGATTGTGCGATTTTTCATATTCCAATTTTTAATTTTTCAATTTTATATTTCTCGAATTTCAATTCTTGAGATTTTCTGTGTTTCATTGTTGCAAGTTTTAGACTTTTCATTTTTTTCAATTTTGCGGTTTGTGGTTTCGATTTTTATTTTTTTGATTTGTCATTTTCTGTTTTTTAAATATTTTAAATTTTCATTTGCAATTTTTTTATTTTTGTGTTTTTCAGTTTTTCGATTTTCAATCTGTAGAATTCAAATTTTTTTTCATATCTCAATTCCTAATTTTTCGATATTTTAATTTTACGATTTTTCGACTAGATTTTTAAATTTTTCAATTTTACATTTCCCGAATTTCAATTAGTGATCTTTTCGGTGTTTCATTGTTATAATCTTTCGATTTTTAATTTTTTCAATTTTTAGATTTTTGGTTTCGTTGATTTCAGTTTTGCAATTTTTCATATCTGAATTTTTAATTTTTCGATATTTCAATTTTACGATTTTGCGATAATTAATTATTAGATTTTTAAAATTTTCAAATTTTCAGTCTGATATTTCTCGAATTTCAACTCTTGGGCTTTTCGTTGTCTCATTGCTGCAATTTTTCCATTTTTCATTTTTTCACTTTTTCGACTTTTAGTCTCGATTTTCATTTTTCGATTTGTCATTTTCCGATTTTTAAATATTTTCAAAATTCTTCTTTTTTCAGTTTCTCAATGCTGCGACGGTTTATTTCTCTAATTTTCGTTTTTGATTTTTTAGTTTTTCCTTTCTTCAATTTTACGATTTTGCAATTTTTCGATTTTTCAAATAATTTTCTTAATTTTTCGGCTTTTCGATATTTCAGTGTTACAAATTTTAGGCCTTTCATTCACTTTTCAGTTGTTTCTACTTTTCAATTTTTCAAATTCTTAAACTTTTCAATGTTTCATTGTGCAACTTTTTGATTTTTCAATTTTTCAATTTTAGTTATTTTAATTTTTTGAAGTTTTCGATTTTCAATTTTTCAAATATCAATTTTTAAATTTTTCAGCGTTACATTGTTGCAATTTTTCTATTTTAATTTTTCAGTTTTTCGATTTTTGCTTTTTCGATTTCAATTTTTTTTGCCAATTTTTAGATATACTTTAATATTTCGACGATTTCAATTTCGCGATTTTTCATACATTAGTTTTTAATTTTTCGATATTTCAATTTTACGATCTTGCAATTTTAGATTTTTGAATTACTGGATTCTTAAATTTTTCTAATTTTATATTTCTCGAATTTTAATTCTGAGCTTTTCGGTGTTTCATTATTGCAATTTTTCGATTTTTTATTTTTCAAATTTTTCAATTTCTAGTTTCGATTTTTCATATTCCGGTTTTTAATTATTTTAAATATTCATTTTTTTTATTTCGCCATATTCCGACGTTTTGTTTCTCAAAATTTAGTTTTCGATTTTTCAGTTTTTCGTTTTTTCAATTTTTCTTCGATTTTTGAAATATGTGTTGGATTTCTTACTTTTTCAGCTTTTCGATGTTTCAATGTTACAATTGTAAGGTTTTTCATTTTCAATTCTTCAATTTTTCAGTGTTTTTGATTTTTTTTCTCTATTTAATGTGTTCGATTTTTCAGTTTTCAGATATTTTAATTTTTGTTTTCAATTTTTTTATTTTCAGTTTCTCGAAATAATATCAAACTTTTCGATGTTTCCCGAGTTTTGGATTATTTTTTGATTGTTTCAGTTTTACTTATTTTGATTTATTGTTTTCAATTTTGCGATTTTTCGTTTACCAATTTTAATTTTTCGATTTTTCAATTTTTCGAATATCGATTCTTAAACTTTTCAGTGTTATATTGTTGCAATTTTTCTACTTTAATTGTTCAGTTTTTCGATTGTTACTTTTTCGAATTCAAATTGTTTTTGCCAATTTTTAGATATACCTACTTTAATTTTTCGTTGATTTCAATTTAGCGATTTTTCGTACATCAGTTTTTAATTTTTCGACATTTCAGTTTTACGATCTTGCAATTTTAGATTTTTGAATTATATTTCTTTTCGGTGTTTCATTATTGCACTTTTTCGATTTTTGGTTTCGATTTTTCATTTTCTGATTTTTAAATATTTTAAATTTTCATTTTTTTATTTCGCTATATTCCGAAGTTTTGTTTTCGTAGTAGTTTTTCGTTTCTTCAATTTTTTTCGGTTTTTGAAATATGTATTAGATTTCTTATTATTAATTATTCTTATTAATTAATTATTTATTTATTTCAACTTTTCAATTTTTCGATTATATAATTTTTCAATTTTTAGTTTTTCGCTTCCAGTTGCTTCAATTTTTAATTTTTCATTTTTCAATTATTATTAGATTTTAAATTTTTCAATTTTTCAATTTTTTCAAATATGTATTAGATTTCATAATTTTTGGCTTTTCGACGTTTCAGTGTTACAATTTTTAGGTTTTTCATTTGATTATTCAATTGTTTCAATTTTTCGATTGTTATTTTCTCGATTTAATATTACTCGATTTTTCATTTTTAAATATTTCAAATTTTTGTTGTTTTTGATTTTGCGGTTTTTCGTGTTTCTATTTTTAATTTCTTCTTTTTATAACAAGAAAAGTAAAACATGCTTAAATTGGTAAATTTTTGTAGGAAAGTATCGCTTTTGCAATTAGGCTCCGCCCTCGGTCTGACAACGAATGAACAATTCATCACAATTGAGCTGGGATGGATATGGGTGGGGCTTAATTTTTGGCTTGTTTTTTTCTTAATATACATAGTATTCCTTGAAGAGCACGATACTCAAAAACATGTTTTTTATTTCTTGTAGAGAAATAAGGATTTTGCAATTAAGCTCCGCCCCCTTGGCTCACGACGAATAAAAAAATCATCACAACTGAGATAGGGTGGGTGGGCGGGGCTACGTTTTGCCTCTCGGTAAATTTTAGTAGTAATCAACTCAAACCCTCCACTTTTCTACTACAAATTATTTATTTCATCAACACATACAATTATCCTTTATAATTTTTTCTTCAGTATTTTAATCTTCTCTTAATGAATGTTCTCTTGAGGTAACACAATCGGTTTCTCGTTATTTCGTGGCCTTATCATCATTCTCGCTTGCTTAAGACTGTAAGTGAATCCCCAAAAGTCCAACCAATAAATTCCGTCACTGTTCGTCTTTTCACCTCTCTTAAAATATTTACCATCAGTGAGTAGCATCTGGGTACAACTTCGGTACCACCATCCCGCACTCTTATCGAGGGCGCAGTTACACCCACAAACGTCTTGATCTTTATCAAACGTACTAAACTTGGACCCAGCATGATAGATAAAAGAATCTCCAGCGTCACCCTGATATCCCTCCAAAAGCTTCAACGCATAACCCTCCTCTTCACCCCCAATACTAAAAGAATTGTACAAAGCGTAGACCTTCTTCGACTCCCAATCTTCCAGTTCGACGAGCATTTCATGAACTTGGTGACCTATTATTGCCAAAAAATGGGTAACAAAATCGTTACAATAAAGAAAAAAAAACCTGTTAAATGGTATAGGTTGTCTAGGCCTAACCAGAACTCTCCACCTATATTGCCAAAACCTCGTTTGTAGTCAGCCCAACCTAAAGTAAAATTTTGGGAGCCATTAAATCGATTGAGAACGTAAGTCCATCCACCCCCTCTCGTTTTCATGTCGCACAAAACCAAGAAGGGCTGAAGCGAGGGTTTAATGTAGTAAAAATTGGAAGCGTTGTGGCCCTTTTCTAGTACTTCTTTGCAGTTTTTCGGAGGAGTTCCAGGGTTTGATTTATCGGGTGTTGTTTTTAAGTGTAAATGTTGTTGAAGGCTATCTACTTTTGCAGTGGGGTTATCAAGGGAGGGCGAAGGAGGCGTAGAGACTACTACAAACTAAGATAAGGAGGTGATAAGACTAATAGTAAATCCATAAATCAACTTACTTGTCCAAGGGCATTTTCGTGTGATGACTTGATTATGAGTACGACAGCCGACAGCAAAATTAAGTGTGTTTTAGACATGTTTACTGATTCGCTAACTAGTACAGACTGCTGTTTGGGTGCACTGTATCACATATTTGTTTTATTTATGAGAGCGGTCAAACTATAAATAAACTGGAATAAGTAGCGGAAAAACAACAGTGCTAAAGTAGCACCTTGCGGGACACCGATACAGGGATTTTTCGCCTCGCCTTTTGCGGCAATACTGATTCCAACTTTATACAATTTTACGACTTGACATTTCACCTACTCAAGTCTGCACTCCGCTTGTTGCAAAAATTTAAGTACAGTTTCATTGCATTCTACATATCACAAACAACTTAATTATCGACAGTTGAGCATTTGTCGTAAAACGCAAAATTTCTCTGCATCGCGTGACCTGCCAGACTTACGTCTCAATCTACCTCCGAACAAGTGGAACATTTTTGTGCGCGTTAATGAGTCGCCGCCAACACCTCTAATCCTTCCCGAAAAAAAAATCGGTCCGTTTAATAACCACTTACTCTTGGGAAAGAAGCACGAAGAAGATTGATTGTTTACGAAGATACGAGCTAATTACAATGTTGCCGTAATAATTGGCCTACTCCAAACACAGTTACTTCTAGATTAGATTATAAGGAATCCTACAATATTGTTCGTCGGCAGCAAATATCTTTTTAATTGTTGTTTGCACGATTTTCAGATCAAAAGCAGCACCGCGAAATTGAGAGATCGTGGAGAAATGTAGGATAGCTGAAAGTTTTTGCTGGACGGGTGAACGCGGGTCGACGGGCTTAGGAGTGAGTTTTTATGTTGGTTCGAAAAATTATAATATACCTAAAAACTCGTAAATCTAAAAATTTGAATTCGTGAAAGTAGAAAATCGAAAAACTGAAAAATTCCTACAATGAAACTTGGAAAAGTTTAAAAATTGATGTTCGAAAAATTGAAAATCGAGAACAGAAAAATTGGAAAATCAAACATTGGTAGACGAAAATTGCAAAATTGAAAACAAAAATTAAAATAACTGAAAATTAAAAAATCGAAAACTTGCACAATGAAGCATGAAGTTTAAGAATTCGAAAAATTGAAAATCGAAAAATTGAAAAACTTAAAAATTGAAAATTGGAACATCAAAATTCGCAAAATTAAAAAGAACGACAAATTAAAATATCTAAAAACAAAAAAATCGAAAAATATTGAATCGAGAAAATGAAAATCGAAAAATTGGAAAAGTGAAAATGTAAAAATTTAAAACCTGTCTAACTAAATTCTCAAAAAATTTAAAAGTTGATCAACGTGAAATTCGATAATCAAAAACGAAAAACCTAAAAATTGGAACCTGAAACATCGAAAAATTGAACAATCATAAAATTGAAGAAAAAGTTTGAGAAACAAAACGTCACAATATAGAGAAATTTAAAAGAAATTAAATTTAAAATCGAGGAATAGAAAAATTGAAAAATCAAGAGATTAAAAATTAGGAGACGAAAAATGGCAAAATTGAAAACGAAAAATTAAATAACTGAAAATTGGAAAACTGAAAAATAATTCAAAAATTGGAAAAAAGAGAAAAAATGGAAAATTGAAAAATCTAAAAGTTACACATTGAAGCACCGAAAAGTTTAAAAATTGGAAAAATTTAAAATCGCAAAATTAAAAACAATGAAAAATTAAGGTATCTGAAAATGAAAAATCGAAAATCGAAAAATTGAAAAATGAAATAATAAAAAAATTGAAAAGTTGGAACACGGAAAAACTGAATAATCAAAAATGAAAAACCTAAAAATTTTAACACTGAAACATCGAAAAACCGCAAAAATTAAGAAATCTAATGCATTATTGAAAAATCGAAAAATTGCAAAGTTGTAAAATTCAAGAAAGGAAAAACCGAAAAATCAAAAATTGGAGAAACAAAACGTCACAATATTGAGAAATTGAAACAATGGAACTTTAAAATATTTAAAAAACCGAAAAATAACAAATCGAGGTCAAAAATCAAAAAATTGAAAAAATAAAAAAACGAAAAATTGCAACAATGAAACACCGAAAAGCTCAAGAATTGAAATTGGAGAAATATAAAACTGAAAAATATAATATTAAATGAAAAATCTAAAAATTGTAAAATCGTAACACTGAAATATCGAAATATAAAAAATCGCAAAATTGAAATCAACGAAAAATTAAAATATATCTAAAAATTGGCAAATAGCAAAATTTAAATTCGAGAAAGTGAAAATCGCAAAACTGAAAAATAGAAAAATTGCAGAAAATTGGAAATTGTAGAACAAAAAAGTTGAAAAATCGAAAAAAAAATTGATAATAAATTATTGATAATCGAAAAACTGAAAAACTTAAAAATCAAAAATAGACGAAAATTAAAGTAGCTACAAATAAAAAATCGAATAATATTAAATCGAGAAATAAAAATCGAAAACACTGAAAAATTGAAGAATCGAAAATCGAAAAATTGAGAAACTCAAAAATGATATAATCGAAAAATTGAAAAGTTGAAACAACGAGAAACTCAATAATCAAAAATGAAAAAACTGTAACATTGCAACACCAAAAAGCTGAAAAACTAAGAAATCTGATATACAGGTATTTGAAAAATCGAAGAAAAATTAAAGAAACAAAAAACTGAAAAATGAAAATTTAAAATATTTAAAAATTAGAAAATTAAAAACCGAAACCAAAAATCGAAAAATTTTAAAAATTTAAAAATCGAAAAATTGCAACAATGAAACACTGAAAAGCTCAGAACTGAAATTCGAGAAATATAAAATTGGAAAAATGTAAAATTGCAAAATCGTAAAATTGAAATATAGAAAAATTAAAAACTGACATATGAAAAATGGCAAAACTGAAATCAACGAAAAATTTGAATTAGAAACAGTAAAAATCGAAAAACTGGAAAATTAAAATAGAAAAATTGAAAATCGTAAAACAAAAAAATTGAAAAATCGAAAAATAAAAATTGGGAGACGAAAAATCGCAAAACTGAAAACAAAAAATTAAAACAACTAAAATTGAAAATTTGAAAAGTAATTCAAAAATCGGAAAATATCGAAAAAATGCAAAATGAAAAATCAAAAACTTGCACAATGAAGCAATAAAAGTTTAGGAGTTTGAAAAATTAAAAATCGAAAAATTGAAAACTTAAAAATTAAAAACTGAGACGAAAAATCGCAAAATTGAAAAAAAAGAAAAATTAAAACTAAAACTGAAAAAATCGAAAAATAATCCAAAACAGAAAAAAAGAATTCCAGTTTTTCTTTTTTTGGAACAACAAAACATCGAAAAGTTTGATGTTTCGAGAAACTAAAAATTGAAAAATTAAAGCAGAAATTAAAAGATCTAAAAACTGAAAAATCGAAAATATTAAACCAAAAAAAATTGGAATATTAAATGATCAAAATTTTGTCGGAACACCGAGAAAGTGAAACATGAAAAACTTGAAAACTGTAACACTGAAACATCGAAAAACTGAAAGATTAAAAAAATCTTATATGTACGTACGTATTTGAAAAATCGAAGAATTGCAAAATCGTAAAATTGAACAAACAAAAACTGAAAAATCAAAAACCAAAATTTCACAAACAAAACGTTGCAATATCGAGAAATTGAAAAAACGGAAATTTAAAATATTTAAAAATCGAAAAATGAAAAATCTAGACTAAAAATCGAAAAGTTGAAAAAATGAAAAATCGTAAAACTGCATCAATGAGGCACCGAAAAACTCAAGAACTGAAATTTGAGAATTATGAAATTGAAAAATTGAAAAATTTAAAATATAATAATTAAAAAGTCAAAAATTTACTAAATCAAGAAAGTTAAAATCGAAAAACTGAAAATTTGAAAAAATGAAACATCGAAAAGGTTAAAATTTTTTTTTACATACATTGAAAATCGAAAAATTGGGATACGTAAAATTGCAAAATTGAAAAGAAAAAAAAACAATAACTCAAAATTGAAAAACTGAAAATTAGTTCAAAAATGGAAAATAAAAAATGGAAGAAATGGAAAATGAAAAATCGAAAAGTCTAAGAATTTGAAAAATTGAAACGAAAATTAAAATAAGCATTTTAAAATTGAAAAATTCAACAATATTAAATCGAGAAAATAAAAATCGAAAACCGAAAAATTGGAACCTGAAACATCGAAAAATTAAACAATCATAAAATTGAAGAAAAAATTCGAGAAACAAAACGTCGCAATATAGAGAAATTAAAAAAAAATAAATTTAAAATACTTAAAAATCGGAAAATCGAAAAATTGCGACAATGATACACCGAAAAGCTTAAGAAGGAGTTCGAGAAATAATAAAATGATAAATTTAAAAATCCAATATAATTGAAAAACCGTAAAATTAAAAACTGAAATATGAAAAATCGCAAAATTCAAATCAACGAAAAACTAAAATATATCTAAAAATTGGTAAATCGAAAAATCTGAATTCGAGAAAGCAAAAATCGAAAAATTGAAAATCGAGGAATGGAAAAATTGAAAAATCAAGAGATTAAAAATTAGGAGACGAAAAATGGCAAAATTGAAAACGAAAAATTAAATAACTGAAAATTGGAAAATTGAAAAATAATTCAAAAATCGGAAAAAACAGAAAAAATGGAAATTTGAAAAATCTGAAAGTTACACATTGAAACATCGAAAAGTTTAAAAATTGGAAAAATTGAAAATCGCAAAATTAAAAACAACGAAAAATTAAGGTATCTTAAAATGAAAAATCGAAAATCGAAAAATTGAAAAATTAAATAATAAAAAAATTGAAGAGTCGGAACACGGAAAAACTGAATAATCAAAAATGAAAATCCTAAAAATTGCAAAATTGTAAAATTGAAGTAAGGAAAAACCGAAAAATGAAAAATTGGAGAAACAAAACATCGCAATATGAGAAATTGAAACAATGGAAATTTAAAATATTTAAGAAACCGAAAAATAACAAATCGAGGTCAAAAATTGAAACATTGAAAAAATAAAAAAACGAAAAATTGCAACAATGAAACACCGAAAAGCTCAAGAATTGAAATTCGAGAAATATAAAACTGAAAAATTTAATATTACTTAACTGAAAATCTAAAAATTGCTAAATAGCAAAATTTAAATTCGAGAAAGTAAAAATCGTAAAACTGAAAAATTGAAAAATAGAAAAATTGCAAAAATTTGGAATTCGAAGAACAGAAAACTTAAAAAGTCGAAAAATAAAAATTGAAAGACGAAAAATCGCAAAATTGAAAAAAAAATAACTAAAAATTTAAAAATACTTCAAAAATCAGAAAAAATTGAAAAATTGGAAAATGAAAAATCGAAAATTTGCAGAATGAAGGAGGCATCGAAAAGTTTAAGAATTTAAAAAATTGATAATAAATTATTGATAATCGAAAAACTGAAAAACTTAAAAATCAAAAATAGACGAAAATTAAAGTAACTACAAATGAAAAATCGAATAATATTAAATCGAGAAATAAAAATCGAAAACACTGAAAAATTGAAGAATCGAAAATCGAAAAATTGAGAAACTCAAAAATTATAAGTATAATCGAAAAATTAAAAAGTTGAAACAAAGAGAAACTAAATAATCAAAAACAAAAAACCTAACAACTGTAACATTGAAACATCCAAAAACTGAAAAACTAAGATATTTGATATACAGGTATTTGAAAAATCGAAGAAAAATTAAAGAAACAAAAAAACTGAAAAATGAAAATTTAAAATATTTAAAAATCAGAAAATTAAAAACCGAAACCAAAAATCGAAAAATTTTAAAAATTTAAAAATCGAAAAATTGCAACAATGAAACACTGAAAAGCTCAGAACTGAAATTTGAGATATATAAAATTGGAAAAATCTAAAACTGCAAAATCGTAATATTGAAATATAGAAAAATTAAAAACTGACATGAAAAATGGGAAAATTGAAATCAACGAAAAATTCAAATATAATCTAAAAATTGGCAAATCGAAAAGTTTGAATTAGAAAAAGTAAAAATCGAAAAACTGGAAAATTAAAATAGAAAAATTGCAACAATGCAACATCGAAAAATTTAATAATTGGAATTTGAAAAATTGAAAATCGAAGAACAAAAAAATTGAAAAATCGAAAAATAAAAATTGGGAGATGAAAAATCGCAAAATTGAAAAAAAAAAATTTAAAATAGCTAACATTAAATTTCGGAAAATAATTCAAAAATCGGAAAATATCGAAAAAATGCAAAATGAAAAATGGAAAACTTGCACAATGAAGCATCGAAAAGTTTAAGAACTTGAAAAATTGAAAATCAAAAAATTAAAAAACTTAAAAATCAAAAACTGAGAGACGAAAAATCGAAAAATAATCCAAAACTCGGAAAAAAAAATTGAAACATCGAAAAATTTTATATTTTGACAGACTGAAAATAGAAAAATTAAAACACCTGAAAACTGAAAATTCGAAAATATTAAATCGAGAAAAAATAAAAATCGAAAAATTGAAAAATTTAAAAATCGAAAATCTAAATTTTGAAAAATTGAAAAATTAAATGACCAAAAGTTTGAAAAGTCGGAACACCGAGAAACTGAATAATCAAAAATAAAAAACTTGGAAACTGTAACACTAAAACATCGAAAAACTGAAAGATAAAAAAATCTAATACATTTTTGAAAAACTGAGAAATTGCAAAATCGTGAAATATTGAGAAACTGAAAGAATGGAAATTTAAAATATTTAAAAATCGGAAAATGACAAATCAAAAAATGAAAAATCGAGACCAAAAATCGAAAAATTGAAAAAATGCAAAATTGAAAAAAAAAATTCAAAGAACTCAAAATCTAAAGTTTGAAAAATGATTAAAAAGTCGGAGAAAATCAAACTGAAAAACTTGAAAATTAAAAATTGAGAGATGAAAAATCATAAAATTAAAAACAACGTAAATTAAAATAACTATCTTAAAATTGAAAATCCCAAAAACACGTATTAAATCCAGAAATAAAAATCGAAAATCGAAAAATTGAAAAATTATATAAAGTTGAAACAACAAGAATCTTAATAATCAAAAATGAAATACTTCAAAATTGCAACAATGAAACATCGAAAAGACGAAACATTAAGAAATCTAATACATATCTGAAAAATAGAAAAATTGCAAAAACGTAAAATTGAAGAAAGGAAAAACTGAAAAATCAAAAACTAAAGTTTGAGAAACAAGACGTCCCAATATTGAGAAAATGAAAAAAATTTACAATATTTAAAAATCGGAAACTGTCAAATCAAAAAATGAAAAATCGAGACCAAAAATCGAAAAATTAAAAAAATGGAAAATCGAAAAATGACAACAATGAAATAGTGAAAAGCTCAAGAATTGATAATCGAGAAATATAAAGTTGAAAAATTGAAAAATTTAAAAATCTAATAAAATTGAACAATCGTAGACAACATTGAAAAATCGAAAAATTAAAAATTGGGAGACGAAAAATCGCAAAATTATGAACGAAAAATTAACATAATTAAAAGTGAAATATTGAAAGATAAAAATTGAAAAATCGAAAAGTTGCACATTGAAGCATCGAAAATTTTAAGTCGAAAAACTGAAATCACAAAACTAAAAACAAGGAAAAATTAAAATGTCTCCAAAAAGGAAAAATCGAACAATATTAAGTCGAGAAAATAAAAATAAAAACTTGAAAAATTGAAAATCGAAAAAGTAAAAATTAAAAAACCGAAAAATTCAAAAATCACAAGAACACCGAGAAACTGAATAATCAAAAATGAAAAATCTGAAAATTTTAACAGTGAAACATCGAAAATCCGAAAAATTAAGAAACCTAATACCTACATATGTGAAAAATCGAAAATTGCGAAATCGTGAAATTGATGAAATAAAAAACTAAAAAAATAACAACTAAAATTTGACAAACAAAATCTCGGAGTACTGAGAAATTGAAAAACATGAAAATTTAAAATACATTAAAAATCGGAAAATAAAATATCGAAAAATGAAAAATCGAGACCAAAAACTAAAAAATTGAAAAAATGAAAAATCGCAAAATTGCAAGAATGAAACACCGAAAAGTTTAATGTAATGTAATGTTTACTAAGAAGAAATTAAGAATTGAAAAACAGAAAAATCCGAAAAATAAAAAAATTAAAATATCCAAAAACTGAAAAATTTGAATTCGAGAAAGTAAAAATCGAAAAATAATTCAAAAATCGATAAATTGAAAAACTCAAAAATAGACAAATGGTAACAATGAAACATGGAAAAATTGAAAAACTGAAAAATTTTAAAATTGCCGGACAAAAAATCGTGAAATTGACAAAGAAAAATTAAAATACCTAAAAATCGAAAAATAGTTAAAAATAGGAAAAAATCGGAGAAATGGAAAATTGAAACATCTAAAAATTGCAAGAACCATGGAAAAGTTTAAGAATTCGAGAAATTGGAAATTGAAAAATTGAAAAACCGAAAAATTAAAAATTGAGAGGCTAAAAATCGCAAAACTGAAAACGTTTGAAAATTATTAATTCGAAAATATAACACATATTTGAAAAATCAAAAATTGCAATATCGTAAAACGAGGAAACGAAAAATTGAAAAATAACAAATTAAGAAATAATCAAAATTGAAAATATTTAAAAATTGAAAAATTGCGAATCGAAAAATTAAAAATCGAGAAACTAAAAGTCGAAAAATTGAAAAATTAAAACCGAGGAATTCAAAAACTGATATATCGAAAGCTTGAAAAATTGAACAATATAATTGAAATTCAAAATAACGAAATTCAAAACTTGAAAAATCTAAAAATTCAAAATTGACAACTACAAAAATTGCGAGTACATTTATTTAGAAAAATATCACAAAAGCCTAAATTGATGTTCAGATGATCTTAGACTTTCGCTAAACGGCAATCTGAATCAATTTAAAAAAGATAATTCATATACATACTAAAGCATTTATCTGTCATATCAAAAATACGGACTTATCAGTTCTTAAATTTTTTGGCTGACGAAAGAAACGGACAGCGATTAGACTCCCAATCTCAGGTTTACATTATTTTAGTCTCCCCGTGGTACCTCACAAACACACACTCCACAATGTCATCTCACGTTCTTTTTATTGTTGTTTTTTTAACTATGTTTATGTTTTCTTCATTTTACGCTGTAAGTACCACTTGTCAAAATATTCAACACACTGTGACCCGTTTCGTCATCTTAGAATGAAGATGCTGCCCCTCGTGCTGGCAAGTACCCAAAAAACTGCAAAGAAGTCCAAGACCAGGGCAACAACGTATCCGACTTTTACCTAATTCAACCCGGAACCTCCCCCGAACCCTTCGTAGCTTTATGCGACATGAAAACCCGAGGAGGTGGCTGGGCCTACATTTTGAACAGATACGACGGATCCCAAGACTTCTACATGGGCTGGGATAGTTACAAAGAAGGATTCGGTCACATCGGAGGAGAGTTCTGGCTGGGTTTGGAAAACATCCACCAACTAACAGGTAAAAACCACCAATTCCTACCACTCAAACCATTTATTTTTATTTTGTGTCCAGGCTACGAAATCAACGAGCTCCTTATCGAAATCGTCGACTGGGACGACGTCCAGAAATTCGCCCTTTACAACGCCTTCAGCGTCGGCCACGAGAAGAGCGGCTATGCCTTAAAGCTGGTCGCGGGCTACATGGGTGACGCTTGGGACTGCATGGTCCGGGAAGCTGGGATGAAATTTACCACCGACGACAAAGACCAGGACCAGAATAAGGACGGAAATTGCGCCCTGTCGTCCAACTCGGGGTGGTGGTTCCGGAACTGCAAGTGGGCTCATCTCACTGGGAAGTACTTCCCGTCGAGTGACGCGGGGTCTGAGTATGCGAAGTCCATGCATTGGCGGGAGTGGCATGGGGAGCGGTACAGCCTCAAGCAGGCGAGGATGATGGTCAGGCCGCGGCGAGAAGGGCATGCGAGGCTGTTTCCGTCGTCCAAATTTTTAAATGCAGATGAAGAAGCTTAAGTTTTGGTTGGAATGTTGATGTGTTTTTTGTGATTGAAGGTGTAGATTTTGAAAGTGTTGTTGTCAATAAATCGTGGTTATAAGGATTCGTTTTATTTATTTTATTAGTGGGTTACAACGAAGGGAAGAGGTGGTTTGCTCCCATGAAGTCGCCAGATTTGTTTTTATTTTGTTAGGCTATATTATCCATGTTTTCAAAAAATTCCTGTATATTAAAATTCAAACAACTTAGAATTTATTTTAGATCATATGGTACTACTGAAATCAAGCAGTGCCGATTTTTGATTATAATGAAAATTCTACAACTAACGTTTGTTTATTTATTTATTTATTTATTTTTTTATTTAACGCTTATCCATCACTCGGTCTGTCGTTTGTATCAGTTTATTGTACACATTTAATCCGAAACTACTGGACCGATGGCCATCAAATTGTGTATGTATATTAGAAATATTATGTATAGATAGTAAAGCGCTGACCAAAACCTGTCTGATCATTCCTACTACCAGTGCGATGGCGTCACAAAATCAAATCTTATAATTGTTCGAAAAATCTTGATTTATTAAACTACCACCGAATTTTTGCTATCACAATTTTACGTTTTTTCAACTTTTTTTCAATGTTTCGGTTTCATAATTTTTCGTTCCTGCAAACTTAATTTTTTCAATTTTTCCATTTTTCAACTTCTAAATTTTTCAATTTTTCGTTCAGTTTCTCTGCGTTTAATATTCCAATTTTTTAGTTTTTCGTATTTTTTAATTCTCACTTGTGTATTTGACTTGTGTAAAAATGTATTTGTAGTTTTTAACACTAATAAAGTATTGATTGATTTTATATCACAATTTTTTGTTTTTTTGCCTTTATTTTTCCTTTTTTTTTTTTTCAATATTTCTTCCGGTTTTATAATTTTTTGTTCATTAAATTTTTCAAGTTCCAATCTCTGATTTTTCTTCAATTCCTCGATTTTCCGGTTGTTCAATATTTCAATTTTTCGATCTCTCAATTATCCGATTTAATAATATTTGTTTTTTTCGATTTTGCGCTTTTTCCATTTTTACGTTTCAATTTTTGTTTCTTCAGTTTGTAAAGTTTTTAGATTTTTGAAAATTGTAATTTCTAATTTTTCAATTTTGTTATGTATTGCATCGAAAAATAAATGAAAAATTCAACCGAAAAATTTAAAGAATGTAAATTGAGAAAATTACAAAATCAGGTCAAGGAAATAAAAAACTGTGACTAAAATTTGCAAATTGAAAATATGAATAACCGAAAAATAAAAAAAAATAAATTAAAAAACAAAAAATTATAAAATCAGAACAATGAAAACTCAAAAAATTGTAAAAATAAAAAAAATTAAAAATCGTAACGAAAAATTTCAAATTGGACATTTGAAGAAACGAAAAACTGAACCGAAAAATTGAAAACTAAAAAAAAATTGGCAATTCGATTTTCAAAAAAGTTTTATTCATTAACTGAAATATGGAAAAATTTTAAAATCGTAAAAAGTGAAAAATTTTAAAAATACATATTTAAAATGAAAATTAGACAAATTGCAAATCAAAAATAAAAGGAAAAAAAATAAAAGTCGCGGAACTGAAAAATCTGAAGTTAAAAAACGAAAAATGGAAAAGTTGACAAATCGCAAAACGAAAACCTGAAAAATTTTCAAAATCCGAAACTCATTGAAAAAGAGAAAAATTATTAAATCAGAACAATGAAAAATTGAAAAATTGAAAAATCGAATAATTGAAACATTCAAAAGTTGGAAAATTGAAAACCTGGAAAATCGAACACCTGAAAAATTCAAAAATTAAAATTAGAAGAGTTGGATATCGTAAAATTGAAGAAACAATAAAATGAAAAATTGAAAATCAAAAATTAAAACGAAAAATTCAAAAAATGTAAATTGAGTAAAAAAAAAAAATTATAAAATCAGAGCAAGAAAATAAAAACCGTGACCAAAAATTGCAAATCTAAAATTTGAAGAAAGGAAAAATTAAAAAAAATTATTTTTATATTGTTGCCTTTATTTTTTTTTCTTTATTTTTTCAATGTTTCTTCTCATTTTATAATTTCTTGTGTATTCAATTTTCCAATGTTTGGATTTCTCAATTATCCGATTTTCTCACTTCTATAATTTTCAATATTTCGATTTAAAAATATTTCGTTTCTTCGATTTTGCGCTTTTTCGATTTTTAAGTTTCTCAATTTTTAATGTTCCGGTTTTTCAATGTTTGTTTCTTCAATTTTTCAAGTTCTTGAGTTCCAGTTTTTAGATTTTTGAAAATTTTATTTCTGATTTTTCAGTTTTACAAAACCGCAATTTATCAATTTTTTTATTCGAAATTGGTATTGAAAAATATAAAAATTCAAAAAATCCGAAAACTAAAAAATCCGAAAAAATTGAAAAATCGAAATATACTGAAAAAACGAAAAATTGCAAAACCAAAAAAGTGGAAAATTGAAGAACTGAAGAAATGAAAAATTGAAACATTGAAAAGTAAAAAATCGAGAAACTTGAAAAAGAAAACATCTATTGAATCGGAAAATTGAAAAATCGAATAAATGAAATAGATTTAAAATCCAAAAAGGAAAAAAATTTAAAAATTATGGCTATTACTGTAAAAAAGTGAAGAAGAAGAACTGAAAACTGAAAAGTTGCAAAATCTAAAAATATTTTTTTTTTAAATTTTCGAAAAATCTCGATTTATACAAACATATAACTACAAGTAAAATAAAACGATTTAAATACAAATCTCCTCTTATATATTCACGACTATAATAAATAACCATACAAACTTCCACCAACTTTTTGCTATGACAATTTTACGTTTTTTAATTATTCTTTTTCATTTTTCAATGTTTTGGGTTCATAATTTTTCGTTTCTTCAACCTTTATTTTTCAATTTTTCCATTTTTCAGCTTCTAAATTTTTCAATTTTTCTTTTCTTCAATTTCTCGGTTTGCAATTTTTCAGTTTTGCAATTTTTCGATATCAAAATTTTTCATTTTTGTCTTGTCATTTTCTGTCTGTCGTCTGTATCAATTTATTGGACATTTTATATCCGAAACTACTGGACCGATTGTCACGAAATTTTGTATGTAAGTATATAAGAAATATTATGTAAATAGTAAAACTCATAATATTTTGTAATTTAGCTTTGTAACTATGAAACCGTTTATCTCTACGAAAAAAATTGATGAGGTCATCTTATAATTTTGCCTAATAAATCCTCTCTGATATATGCAAACATGATTTTTTCTTTTTCTTCGATTTTATAATTTGTCGTGTTCTCAATTTTTTCATTTTGCAATTTTTCGATGTTACGGTTTTTCATTTTTCGATTTTTCAGTTTCTCAATTTCTACTTTTTCGGTTTTTCAATTTTTCCTTTTCCTATTTTTTCATGTTCTCGATTTTTGTCGTCCATTGTCCCGATTTTTTAACTTTCACTTTCTCCAGTTTGTGTTACAATATTTCGTTATTTCATTCCTTATATTTTTACAATGTTTTTCCATTTTATATTTTTGGTTTATGCAATTTTATCAATTCTCATTCTTTAATTTTCAAATCCCCGATTTTCCAATTTTTCAATTTTTCAATTTCGTAGTTTTTGGATTTTCAATTATTCGATTTTACAATTTCTTTAATTTGCGATATTTCGATTTTTACAATACATATTTTGTTTTTACGATTTTACACTTTTTCTTTTTTTAAGCTTCTCAATTTTTAATTTTCCAGTGTTTCAATTTTTGTTTCTTCAATTTGTAAAGTTCTTGATTTCCAGTTTTTAGATTTTTGAAAATTGTAATTTCTAATTTTTCAATTTTTTATGTATTGCATCGAAAAATAAATGAAAAATTTAACCGAAAAATTTAAAGAATGTAAATTGAGAAAATTACAAAATCAGGTCAAGGAAATAAAAAACTGTGACTAAAATTTGCAAATTGAAAATATGAATAACCGAAAAAAAAAATAAATTAAAAAACAAAAAATTATAAAATCAGAACAATGAGAACTCAAAAAATTGTAAAAATAAAAAAATTAAAAATTGGACATTTGAAGAAACGAAAAACTGAAGCGAAAAATTAAAAAATAAAAAAAAATTGGCAATTCGGCTTTCAAAAAAGTTTTATTCATTAACTGAAATATGGAAAAATTTTAAAATCGTAAAAAGTGAAAAATTTTAAACATACATATTTAAAATGAAAATTAGACAAATTGCAAATCAAAAATAAAAGGAAAAAAATTTGAAGTTAAAAAACGAAAAATGGAAAAGTTGACAAATCGCAAAACTAAAACCTGAAAAATTTTCAAAATCCAAAACTTATTGAAAAAGAGAAAAATTATAAAATCAGAACAATAAAAAATTGAAAAACTGCAAAATCGAATAATTGAAACATTCAAAAGTTGGAAAAATGAAAACCTGGAAAATCGAACACCTGAAAAATTCAAAAATTAAAATTAGAAGAGTTGGATATCGTAAAATTGAGGAAACAATAAAATAAAAAATTGAAAAATTGAAAATCAAAAATTAAAACGAAAAATTGAAAAAATGTAAATTGAGTAAAAAAAAATTATAAAATCAGAGCAAGAAAATAAAAACCGTGACCAAAAATTGCAAATCAAAAATTTGAAGAAAGGAAAAATTAAAAAAAATTATTATTATATTGTTGCCTTTATTTTTTTTTTCTTTATTTTTTTAATGTTTCTTCTGATTTTATAATTTCTTGTTTATTCAATTTTCCAATGTTTGGATTTCTCAATTATCCGATTTTCTCATTTCTATAATTTTCAATATTTCGTTTCTTCGATTTTGCGCTTTTTCGATTTTTAAGTTTCCCAATTTTTAATTTTCCAGTTTTTCAATTTTTGTTTCTTCAATTTTTCAAGTTCTTGATTTTCAGTTTTTAGATTTTTGAAAATTTTAATTTCTGATTTTTCAGCTTTACAAAATTGCAATTTTTCAAAACGGAAAATTCAACATCGTAAAACCAAAAAATCCGAAAAAATGTAAAATCGAAATAGTGAAAAAACGAAAAATTGCAAAACCAAAAAAGTGGAAAATCGAAGAAATGAAGAAATGAAAAATTGAAAAGCTAAAAATCGAGAAAGCTAAAAAAAGAAAAAATGTATTGAATCGAAAAATTGAAGAATCGAATAAATGAAAAATTTAACCGAAAAATTGAAAAAATGTAAATTGAGAAAACAAAAAATTATAAAATCAGGTCAAGGAAATAAAAATCTGTGACCAAAATTTGGAAACAGAAAATTTGAACAACGAAAAATTAAAAAAAAATTAAATCGGAAAAACAAAAAATTATAAAATCAGAACAATAAAAACTCAAAAAATTGTACAAATAAACAAAACCGTAAAGAAAAATTACAAATTAGAAATTTGAAGAAACGAAAAACTGAAGCGGAAAATTGAAAAATAAAAAAAATGGAAAATCAAAAAACAAAAACGAAAAATTATAGTTATTATTACATATTTAAAATGAAAATTAAAAAAATCGCAAAACAAAAATTGAAGAAAAGAAAAATTAAAAAATCTAAAACTGGAAAAATCGAAAAACTGAAAACCGAAAATCTGCAAAATCCAAAAATTAAAAAATGTCTTATTCAAAAAAAAGAAATTGTAAAATCGGAACAACGAAAAATCGAAAAATCGAAGACATGAAAAATTAAAAATCGAAACGTTCAAAAGTTGGAAAATTGGAAAATTGAAAACCTGAACAAATTAAAATTTAAAACTAGAAGAGTTGGATATCGTAAATTTGAAGAAACAAAAAAATGAAAAATGAAAAATTACAAATCGAAACTTTTAACAAAATAATAAAAAAAAATTGAATTGTATAAACAAAAAATTATAAAATCAGAGCAATAAAAATTCCAAAATTTGTAAAAATAAAGAAAATACCGAACCATAATGAAAAATTACAAACTGGAAATTTGAAGAAACGAAAAATTGAAAAATTAAAAAACGAAAAAGTTTTATTTATTAACTGAAACATGGAAAAATTTTAAAATAGTAAAAAGTGAAAAATTTTAAAAATCATAGGTAAATATTTAAAACGAAAATTAGAAAAACTATAAACTGAAAAATTTGCAAAATCCAAAGCTTGAAAATTTCCTTATTGAAAAACAGAAAAATTATTAAATCAGAACAATGAAAAGTCGAAAAATTGAAAATCAAATAATTGAAACATTCAAAAGTTGGAAAATTGAAATCAGAAAAATTTAAAAAGTTAGTTTTTGTTTCTTCATTTTTTCAAGGTCATGATTTCTAGTTTTTAGGTTTGTGAAAATTTTAATTTCTAATTTTTCAGTTTTACAAAATTGCAATTTTTCAGTTTTTTTATTTGAAAAATTGGAAAATCGGAAAATTTAACATCGAAAAATTTGCAAATCGGAGAACTGAAGAAAGAAAAAATTGAAACATTGAATAGCTAAAAATCGAAAAATTGCTAAATCGAATAAATGAAAAAGATTTAAAATCCATTAACTGAAACATGAAAAAATTCTAAAATTGAAAAAGTGAACAATTTTAAAAATTATAGTTATTATACACATTTATATTTAAAATGAAAATTAGAAAAATTGCAAATCAAAAATTGAAGAAATTAAAAATTAAAAAATCTAAAAGTTGAGTCGAAAACTGAAAACCGAAAAATTGCAAAATCCAAAAATAAAAATTTTCTCAATGAAAAAAAAGAAAAATTATAAAACTAGAACAATGAAATATCGAAAAACTGCACGATACAAAAATTTAAAAATTATAAAATCGCAGCAATGAAAAATCGAAAATTCTGTAAACTAGAAGAGTTGGATATCGTAAAATCGAAAAATTGCAAACCAAAAATTGAACCGAAGAATTAAAAAAATGTAAATTAAAAAAAAAAACAAAAAGTTATAAAATCAGAGCAAAAAAATAAAAAACCGTAACCAAAAATTTGAAGGATCAAAATATATAAAAAAATAAATTGAATAAACAAAAAATTGAAAAATCGAAAAATTTAAAATAGTATATCAAAGAAGTGAAAAATCGAAAAATACAAAATTTGGAGAATCGAATTGAAAAACTCCAAAACTGAAAAATTGAAAAACACACAAATTAAAGAATCGAAAAATATCGAAAACTTGGAAAATGCCCAAATCGAAAAGCTGACAAATGGAAGACTCGAAACATCAAAAAATGCAAAAACTGAAACATAGCTAAATAATTGAGAAAGATTAAATTAAAAATTTAGTTCGTAAATTTTTTACTCGAAAAATCGAAAAATTGAAAAATCCCAACCTTGAAATACCACAAAAATTAGGAATCGAAAATAGAAAATCCAGAAATTGACAAATCGAAAAATTTAAAATTGTCAAAAATTGATAAATCAAAAAATTTGATGATCGAAAAACTGAAGAGTCGAAATGTTGAAAAAATCCAACACTGAAATATCGAAAGACTGAGTAATCGAAAAACCGAAAATTGAGAAACTGACAAATTGGAAAATAAAAAAATAACAAAAAACCCTAACTGAAATATCGACAAAATGACAAATCGAAAAAAACAAATTTCACAACTGGTCATCAATTTATTGACAATTGATACACCAAGACGCAGACTTAAAATCTAAATAGTAACTGATACAAAACATCTTTTTAAAATCAAATTCTCAAACTCTTCTTTCAAACATTTGGAAGTTAACGACAACCTCGGTTGTCGCGGTCTGACCATCATCCTCGCCTCTTTCAAAGTACTCCTTATCCGGCACATTTCAAATGCCGTAAACGGGCAATTCTCAGGATTTACTTCAATCCTGTGGCCGAACTTCCCGGTAATGTGTGCCGCAGTGCATTCCCGCAACCACCACGCCGGCAAGGACTCGCTGGCGCAAGGTTCTCTTTCCCTAGTGCTGAATTTCATGCCTACTTCATCGCCCATGCCGTCTCCAGCATTACCACTATAGCCCGCTAGCAGCTCTAAAGCATAACCGCTGTCTTCGTCGCCGATGCTGAAGGTGTTGTAACGGGCGAACCCTTGGACGCCGTCCCAGTCGGCGAGTTCAACCAGGAGCTCGTTAATTTCGTGACCTGAAGAAGTATAAGTAGATTCTGTACGACTCTGTGAATCCTATTTACCCGTTAAATGGTAAATATTTTCTAAGCCTAACCAGAACTCTCCTCTAAGATCGCCGAATCCGTTCTTGTAGTCGTCCCAGTAGAGGTCAAAGTTTTGAGATCCGTTGAATCGGTTCATTATGTAGGTCCAGCCCCCTCCTGTGGTGTCCATGTTGCATAAAACCTTGAAGGGTTCAGGCGCGTGTTCGGGTTGAATTACGTAGACGTCGGAAACATGGTGGCCCAGGAGTTGGACCTCTTGGCAGTTTTTGGGATAGGTGCTACCTGCATCTATGGACTAAATGTCAAAGGAAATCACGTTGTGTTTAGACTTTGGAAAATCGTACTTACAACAGATGACGAAGAAAATTTGGACACGGCTAGAAAACTGAGCACAAAAAGAACTCTGAATGACATATTAGTTATACCAACAACAACGGTTAACGCAAGCGCAGGAACAACCGTTAGCACACACCGTTAGTGTGACGTTCGCCTTCGTCACCGTTCCGTCATCGCTGGCGCAGTCGCGCAGACTACCGCCGAACACGGACTCCGTCTACATGTTTCGATAAAATCGATACCTAGTGGAGATTAATACTGTAAGTCTAGTGTTTATTTAAGGGTCCCAGTCGTCGCGTACAAAATCGGTTCCACTGAGAAGAATTTAATTTTTCGATGTTTCAATGATACAATTTCTCAATTGACGTTTCTAAATTTTCAGTTTTCCGATTTCTGAAGTAATCTTGTTTTTATTTTCCCATTTCTTCCCAAAATTTCGATTTTTCACTTGTTCAATTCTTCAATGTTTCGATTTTTTGGGGTTTTGATGTTTCAATTGTTCAATTTTTCAGGATTTTGATTTTTCAATTTTTCGATTTTATAAGCTTACGATTTTTGGACTTCTAGATTTCCTGATTTTCAGTTTTTCGTTTTTTAAAATTTAGATTTTTCAATTTTCGGCTGTTTTATATTTCGATTTCTCAATTTTTTAACTTTTAGATATTTTGATTTTTCGATTTTTCAAATTCTAGATTTTTGATTTCTCGAGTTTCGGTTCTTCTATATTTCAATTTTTCAATTTTCGGGATTTTAAAAATTTTCGATTTTCCATCTTTTTTTAACTTTTCGATTTTCCAATTTTACAATAATCCGATTTTTCAATTTCTCGGTTTTTAAATTTTAGATTTCCAATTTTTATTTTTTTGATTTTTTCAATAATTACAATTTTTAAAACTTTCCACTCTTTCAATTTTACGATTTTAGAATTTTCTCGTTTTCATTTATTGAATTTTAATACTTTCTCACTTTTAAATTTTGCGATTTTTTATTTTTCAATTTTTCCGTCCATTTTCTTGTTTTGCAATTTTTCAATTTTTCATTTTTTTGTTTGTTCAATTTTACGACATCCAACTCTTCTAGTTTCCATTTTTAAATTTTTCAGGGTTTCGATTTTCGAGGTTGTCAGTTTTCCAAATTTTGAATGTCTGAGTTATTCTAGTTTTCAATTTTTGGATTTTGTAATTTTTCCATTTTTTAGTTTTTCTATTTGACGATTGTTTGATGTTTCGATTCCTTAACATCTCGGTTTTTCGACTTTCACAATTTTTCGATTTTTCCACTTTTAGATTTCCCGATTTTTCAAGTTTTCGATTTCTCAATTTTTCAAAATTTCAATTTTAGGAATTTTTCAATTTCTGGACAATATTTTTCGACAACTCGACTTGTCTTTTTCAATCTTTTGATGTATCGATTTCCCATGTTTCATTTTTTGTATTTTTTGATATTTAGATTTTTCTATTTGTAGATTTTTTCGATTGTTCAATTTTTCTATTTTCGATTTTTTCGTCATTTCAGTTTTGGATGTTTTCGATTCTTCAAATTTTTGATTTTGCAATTCGTCGATTTTTTCAATTTTACGGTTTTCGATTTTTTATTTTTTCTATTTGATCATTTTTTGATAATTCGATTCCCTAACACCCCGGTTTTTGGATTTTAAAAGTTTTTCGATTTTTAGTTTTCTCGATTTTTCAAGTTTTCGATTTCTCAAATTTTCAAAATTTCGATTTTAGGAATTTTTCAATTTTTCGATTTTTAAATTTTTTGTTATATCGATTTTTTGAATTTCGATTTTTCAGTTTTTCTGTTAATACAATTTTTCAAATTTTTCATTTTTAGATTTTTCAACTTCCCGATGTTTTAGTTTTTCAATCTTTTAATTTCTCGATTTTCGATTTTTCGATTACTAATTTTTTTGATATTTTAGTTTTTCGATGCTTCAATTTCCCGATTCATCAAATTCTCGATTTCTCGATTTTGAAGTTTTACGATTTTTCGATTTTTCAAATTTAGATGTTTTAATTTTGTTGTTGTATCAATTTTAGATTTTTCCGTTCCTCGATTTTTCAGTTTTTCGTTTCTTCAATTTTTGATTTGATTTGCAATTTTTCCAATTTTCACTTTAAATATGTAATAGTAATTACAATTTTTAGAACTTGTCACTCTTTCAATTTTACAATTTTAGAATTTTCTCATCTTCATTTATTGGATTTTAAAACTTTTTCACTTATTCGACTTTTAAATTTTGCGATTTTTAATTTTTCAATTTTTCCGTCCATTTTTTTGTTTTGCAATTTTGCAATTTTTCATTTTTCTGTTTGTTCAATTTTACGATATATCCAACTCTTTTCGTTTTCATTTTTAAATTTTTCGGATTTTCAATAAGAAAATTTTGATCTCTGTAACTGGGTTTTTACCTGTAGAATGATCAATAAAGATTAAAGATTAAAGATTTTCAATTTTTGGGTTTTGCAATTTTTCCATTTTTTAGTTTTTCTATTTGACAATTTTTTGATGTTTCGATTTCTTAACATCCCGGTTTTTCAACTTTCATAATTTTTCGATTTTTCGATTTTTCGAATTCTCACTTCTCCGATATAACTATTTTTCAATTTTTCGAATTTTTAAATTTTTGATTTTTAGATTTTCAATTTTTAGATTTCTCGATTTTTCAAATTTTTATTCTTTTATTTATTTAATTGAAAGTTACAGAGTGGAGGATATATCCTTTAAATTTTGGATTACTCAGTCTTTCAAATTTTTAATTTCTGGATTTTTCAGTTTTAGTTTTACGATTTTTCAGTTTTTCGACTTTTCAATTTTTCGATTTTTAACGTCCCGATTAATCGATTTTTTATTTTTCCATTTCTCGATTTCTGGTCTTTCCAGTGTTTTGATTTTTCAATTTTGAATTTTTTGATTTTTCAATTTTACGACTTGTAGTTTATGAATTCGTGTTGATTTTTTATCCTAGATATCGAGATTTTTGAAAAAAAAAATAAAGTTTTAGATATAATAATTTTCCGAATTTTCGATTTCACACCTTTTCGATTTGTCTATTTTTCAACTTTCAATTATTCAGTTTTTCAATGCTTCGGTTTTGAGATTTTTCAGTTTTTTTATTTTTCAGTTATTCGATTTTTCAATTTCTTGATAATTTTTCAATTTCTCGATTACGGTTTTTCTATTTGTCGATTTTTTCGATTCTTCAATTTTCTTATTTTCTATTATTTCGTCATTTCAGTTATGGATTTTTCAATTTCGATTTTTCAGTTTTTCGATTCTTCAATTTCCCAATTTTTTTATTTTTTCAATCTTCACTTTTTTAATATATCCATTTTTAATCTTTTCGGATTTTTAAATTTTTAGATTTTTCAATTTTCCAATGTTTTAGTTTTTGAATCTTTCAATTTCTCGATTTTCGATTTTTCGCTTACTAATTTTTTTGATATTTCAGTTTTTCGATTCTTCAATTTTCCAATTCATCAAATTTTCGATTTCTCGATTTTGAAGTTATACAATTTTCCGATTTTTCATATTTCGACGTTCTAAATTTTTAATTTTTCTATTTTTCAATTTCTGGATTAATCGATTCTTGGTTTTCCCACTTCACGATTTCTCGACTTTTCAAGGTATCGGATTTTCAGTCTGTCAATTCTTCAACTTTCCGATTTTTCCCTTTTTTACAGAGTGGAGGATATATCCTTTAAATTTTGGATTACTCAGTCTTTCAAAGTTTCAATTTTTGGAATTTTTCAATTTCTGGATTTTTCAGTTTTAGTTTTACGATTTTTCAGTTTTTCGACTTTTCAATTTTTCGATTTTTAATGTCCCGATTAATCGATTTTTTATTTTTCCATTTCTCGATTTCTGGTCTTTCCAGTGTTTTGATTTTTCAATTTTGAATTTTTTGATTTTTCAATTTTACGACTAGTAATATAATAGTTTATGAATTCGTGTTGATTTTTAATCCTAGATATCGAAATTTTTGAAAAAAATTAAAGTTTTAGATATAATAATTTTCCGAATTTTCGATTTCACACCTTTTCGATTTATCTATTTTTCAACTTTCAATTATTCAGTTTTTCACTGTTTTGGTTTTGAAATTTTTTAGTTTTTTTATTCTTCAGTTATTCGATTTGTCAATTTCTTGATAATTTTTCAATTTCTCGATTACTAATATTTTTGGTATTTCTATCTTGGGGTTCTTCGATTTTCAAAATTTTTCGATTTTTAAAATTTCTGGATTTTTCAAGTTTTCGATTTCTCAATTTCCACACTTGCTGCTACAATTTTAAAATTTGAGTATGTACAACAATTTAGCATTGGTAGCAAATTATTTTCAAAAACTATCCAATGTTCATGGTAAAACAACAAAATTTCTTCGTACTCTCGGGGTCATGAAAGGTCGATAGAATGGAAGTCGCCATCTTTAATTTTTGTCACTTTTTATAAACATTTCCATCGTGTCACTATTTTTCGTGGCTCAAAAAACGTGGTGCGGCGGTACCGCGTACTAGACTCAGTTAACGCGAGTAGGTAGTACATAAACACACATTCTGCCGTGCTCCACCATGGTACCACTTCAGCTTATTTTCGTTGTTCTTTTTGTTTTAACTAAAAGCGTTCTAGTTCACTGTGATGGCGAATCCTTTGTAAGTACCATCTTAAATATTAATCACGGTGTGATTTGCTTTATCACGTTAGGTTAAAAAATCTAGTTTCACCTATCCAAAACATTGCGATGAGGTCATGAAAAGAGGCTACAACAGGTCCGGCTTTTACTTCATTCAACCCAAATATGCTCCTTACCCCTTCCCAGTAGTATGCCACTCGGAGGGTTGGGCCAGGGGCTGGACAGTCATTCTGAACAGATTCGAGGGATCCCAAAATTTTAGCAAAACCTGGGAAGAATACCAGTACGGATTTGGCAATGTGGGAAGAGAGTACTGGTTAGGATTAGAAAATATTCATTATCTTACAGGTACAAATATCCTTTAACTATTTTTTTAATTTTTTAACTTAAACAAAGACAGAGTAGATGTCTCAGGGTTACTTTTTCTTCCTTATCAAGGCTATAACAAGAAGTTATTTAGCTTCAGTACTCAGTAAAGAGCGGAT